CTAAAAGTCTCCTTAAAAATAATTCTAGAAAAACCCTTCCTAGTTCCATTAATATAATAAAGGCACTCAGTCATCTTCTAATTTGTTTTAAATGAGCCAGGAATCATTTAGTATAATGAACAGTTATGATAAGTACTCTTTATTCATGATATACAACTCCAAATGCATAACCCAAATAAGCACATATTTGATTAAATAGCACCTTTGGTATTTCTAGTTAAAAAAAAAAAGTACCATATACCCCTTTTGGTTCAGAATATAAATTCATTTATGATGGTGTTTCTATAAAAAAATCAGATATGACATTCTTAGACTTCCAGAACTTCATACAGTATGGTAACCTACCAAAATCCAAAGACTACTTAAAATACTTTTTTATGATATAACTTTTTAAAGCAAAATATTTGAGAACTACATAGGACTTAAGTACACTCACATAAGATGCTACAAGAGACACTCAGGCAGAGTGGTTAGGACGATGACCTTAGGCTTGAATCCCTAATCCACCATTTAACAATCGTATGATCTTAGTCAAATTACTTTTCTTTCTGTGCCTACATTTCCTTTTCTATGAAAAAATGAGGATAAAAAATATAAGACATAGACACACACACAAACACAAAGGAACAGTGGAAGGTAACACACCAAAATGTTAACTATGGTGAGATTATTTGCTTCCTTAAGTTTGTATCTTATTCATAGTTTCTACAATGAACATTTAACATTTTTTAAAAAAGATTCATTTATTTTAGTGAGAGAGAGCAAGAGCAAGGGGAGGGGCAAAGGGAGAGAGAAAATCTCAAGCAGAGTCCTGCTCAGTATAGAGCCCACTGTGGGGCTCAATCTGATGACCCTGAGATCATGACCTAAGCGGAAATCAAGAGTTGGACACTTAATCGACTGAGCCACCCAAGCGCCCCAAACATTTAACACGTTTCATTTTTTTTATTTTTTTTTTAAAGATGTTATTTATTTATTTGAGAGAGAGAAAGCACAAGCGGGGGAAGGGACAAAGGGAGAGGGAGAAGCAGACTCCCCTCTGAGCTGGACCCAGGACCCTGAGATCATGACCTGAGCCAATGGCAGACACTGAACTGACTGAGCCACCCAGGAGCCCTCATTTAGTACTTTTTAATTCCGGGGCGCCTGGGTGGCTCAGCTGTTAAGCGTCTGCCTTCGGCTCAGGTCATGGTCCCAGGGTCCTGGGATCGAGCCCTGCATCAGGCTCCCTGCTCAGCGGGAGGCCTGCTTCTCCCTCTCCCACTCCCCCTGCTTGTGTTCCCTCTCTCGCTGTCTCTCTCTCTGTCAAATAAATAAATAAAATCTTAAAAAAAAAAACTTTTTAATTCCCCCAAAGTGAAAGTTTTTAATCAAATGCTTGAGTTTAAAGACTATATTATGTGAATTCTTAGTAAATTAAAGATTCCAGGGTGGTAAATTTAAGCTAGTAAATGTTTTTCATAAATTAGAGATTAATTTCAATTTGTGGCAAATTGTACATCTCTTTAAAAGAATTTAAAAAAATGTTTACGTCTTCCTAGAAAAATGTTCTGTATATGTGGGTTCAGTTGTAAAGATAAATATAAGTTCAATGTAGTTTAAGGAGGAAAAGGCACATTGAATATGTCTGGAATAAATGACCATGTAAGTCTGTAAGAACAAGTTAAATTAAAATTATTTTTCCAAAAGTATAAAATTTATCCAAGTACAGAAGTCTCATCTGTCAGACGCCAAAGGGGGAAGAACTGTAAAGATCATAGCATGTAAAACAAACGTAAAACCTTTTATTTTCAGAAACTACTGATTTATCTAAATAAATCACTACATAATCTGGATAAAAAAATGAATTTTATTTTATTTTTTTTATTTTTTATTTTATTATTATTTTTTAAGATTTTATTTATTTATTTGACAGAGAGAGAGAGAGATAGTGAGAGCAGGAACACAAGCAGTGGGAGTGGGAGAGGGAGAAGCAGGCTTCCCGCCGAGCAGGGAGCCCGATGTAGGGCTCGATCCCAGGACCCTGGGATCATGACCTGAGCCGAAAGCAGATGCTTAACGAATGAGCCACCCAGGCGCCCCCCAAAAATGAATTTTAATAAGAAGAATTAAAATAGACTCTTGGGTTTTGAAAAGAAGGCAAACTATTAAATAGGCATCTAAAAAGGTCAAAAGGAGACAATCACCCCACACTAAACTTAGTTGTTAGAATCAAATCACGTCACATAACGTATGGTTTCTGGTCATCGTCAAGCAATGAAAACCAGAACCTAAGGAGTGATGGAAAATGTACTTCTTTATTTTAGGGAAAAATATTTATCATGAGGATGTATCCTGATAACTAGCTGGTATTAATATCAGACACCATAAAATCAGTTCTTTCAGTTCTTCATGTAGAGTTTTGTTAATCACTCATTTACTATCAACTGAAAACTGATGATTCAGATGATACAGTGAACAGAAACAAAAGTAATAAAATGTTTTTAAAGCTAGTCAATTTCAATGATTCTAGCATGAAGAACTAGTATTAAATTGGAGGATTTTACTACCTTCACTTCATATCTTCTAGAGATTCTTTCCTAATGTCATTTATAAAAGCTGATACAAGGATATTTGCTTCTTCATTTATTCATTCAATAAATATTTGCTGAATGCCTACTTAATGTGCCAGATGCTATGCTCAGGTAAGTAAGACAACACAGAGTTCCCTCACGGAATCTAGTTAGAGAAAGACATTAAACAAAAAAAAATCACACAGATACTTAATTACATTAGAATAAATGCAGTAAATGAAAAGGAAAGTGTACAATGAGCCTCTATAAAGGGGGCCTAACCCAGTTCACGGATTATAGGAAGGACTTCTGGAGGAAGTTAGATTTAAATGCTTCACCATCTATATATCCCAGACATCTATCCAAATGTCTAGCACATAGGATAAACTCAATAAAAGTTTGTGCAGCTGAATTAAATAATGGTTTGTTTGTTTTTTAAAGATTTTATTTATTTATTTGACAGACAGAGACCCAGCGAGAGAGGGAACACAAGCAGGGGGGAGTGGGAGAGGGAGAAGCAGGCTTCCCGCGGAGGAGGGAGCCCGATGTGGGGCTCCCTGAGCCGAACGCAGACACACTTAACGACTGAGCCACCCAGAAGCCCCTAAATAATGTTCTTAATGGAATTTCTCCAACATGTGTCTCAGTGCCTATGACAGTGTCTTGTACAGATGAGATAGCTAAAATGTATTTTTTTTTTTCTTTTAAGATTTTTATTTATTTATTTGACAGAGAGAGACACAGCGAGAGAGAGAGCACAAGCAGGGGGAGTGGGAGAGGGAGAAGCAGGCTTCCCGCGGATCAGGGAGCCCGATGCGGGGCTCGATCCTAGGACCCTGGGATCATGACCTGAGCCAAAGGCAGACGCTTAACAACTGAGCCACCCAGGTGCCCCAGCTAAAATATATTTGTTGAAAAAAATAAATTAATGAGGAAGTTTGCTTCTGTGGAAAGAACATAGGCTTTGGAATCAGACAGTTGGGTTCAAATGCAGGCTAACAAACCAGATGACCCATGCCTTACTCTTCAAAATAGGAATAATAGATCTATCTCAGAGGCTTGTGGAGAGAATTAAATACAATACATGTAAACTCCCTAGCACAGTGTTGGGCAATTGGAAAGTGTCCAACAAATAGTCACTATAATAAATGGTCACTAATAATTATTTTCTTCATCTGCAGATTTAGTAAAGGAGAACCTTGATATAAGTCAGCAAAATCAAAAAGATTCAAAGAGAATACCCTACAGACTTCTCTGTGTGGAGTCTGAAGATTATATACATGCAATAATGAGAGAGTCAAGGATTAGATTGTTGGACATACTGACAATGCTGGAAAGGCTTATATTTTCACAAACCTATCTGGCCAAAGAGCCAATAAAGAGATAAGAATTTTCAGAGCACAGAGGGTAGCGTCTGTGGGAAGACGAGCTGTCTAGGGTATAAGCAATAAGGATGTATGGTTCTCTTTTAGATCTACTATATAAATTCTTAAATGTTCCCAAGTCCCCATTAGATGAAGTACTGTTGTATGCACTGAGGATCAGTGATGAGCAAGATGCAGCCCTTGCTCTTGACAAGCTGACTGTGGTAAGGACAGAGTTACACGGCAGGTGCTATGGCAGAAGATGACTGGGCACTTAGTCTGGTCTTGGTGTTTACACAAGGCTTCTTAAAGGTGGTTGTATCAGAACTAAGGTCTAAAGAATGACTTAAGAGTTATTTCAGAGCATGGGGGAGGGACATGTTGTTCTAGGCAAAGTGAAGCAAAACAAAGACCAGGAAGAATTAAATTGTGTAAAAAGGGTGACAATCTTAAACAGGCTGCTATCGTTAGACCAGTGAAGTGGGAAGAAGTTAAGCTTCAGAGACAGAGAGGAACCAGGTCACGAAGACCCTGGAAGGCCAGATATGGAAACCTGCAAACAATTAGATGGGAGATAGTATGTCAATACCAAGCAGTTTTCCAGACCTCAGACAGAGGAAATTGTGTAGAGGATAGCAAAAAGTGTTTGTTATTTTGTTTTTCTATTTGGATCAGGACTATTAATTATCCAGAATTGATGACTTTTCATTAGATGATATTCTCAAGCTTAGTGAAGCAATCTGGAAAATGGTAATGACTATTTATTTATCGTTCCAAGAGACAACAATCAATCTAAGTAATTTCATCCTAAACAAAATATCTGACAATTATAGGCACCTATGAACACCCTTGCATGTACATAGCAAGGTTCTAAGACTTAGAGACTTTTTGGTTCTAATACCAACATCTAGAATTTATTTGCAGGTCGAAGATGGAAAGAGTATCCAGGGGAGTAAAAAAAAGTTCACTCTTCCCACCCTCAAGGATCTTTGGTCATTTGGTTAAGGAAACAGGGGATACTAAACTGAGCTTAAGAAAAAAACAGGGGGAAAAAAAAAAAAGACAGGAAAGAGAAAAGACTTACGGAGACCACACTCTTGGGAAAGCCTCTATTTCTTCCTGCGTGTACTCATCTAGACGTCTGGGTACTTTTCGTGGTTGAGGAAGCTCTTCCACCAAATTCTTACGAATATCTTCTGGTATGTCCTAGGTTAAATAAAATTTAGGCTTAATTTTCTTAAAATACATCCCTTAGTAATAAATTAGTAATACTTAGTAAATATTAAAAAATTACAAACAAAAGAATATTTATAGAATGAGGAACACAATACAATCTCTATAAATCCATGAAAATCCCTGAAAAGTATATTAATGATAAAAGTAATCTCATTATAATACTGTACCTTATATTTTAATCTTGACAAACCTATTTCTCATGATAAGTTAGATATCTTCAATTCTGAGGACCATCGAGTCACTAAGTTCTATCAATTTTTTCTAAACTGTTTAATTTATTCCCAGCCTTTCAACTGCAGAAAGGCACTGCCTTGGCTGATTCTCATGATTTTTCATCTGATTGAGTGGATGTACGGGGTCTGTGGCTTGCAGAGACACAACCTTTCAATTCATACTCCATGTTGTTGCCAGAAAAAACTTGGGAAAATGAAAACCTGCTGGATCTTTGAGTCATTTAGCCAACAAACATTAACTGAACTCCTTCTATGAACCAGAAATTGTGCTAGGTGCTCAGAATATAAAAGGGAATAAAAAGACGATGGCCTCTACAGGCTTATAATTTTAAAAATGTCACTTCTCAAACCAGTGTCCTCACTCCTAGGCCATCTCTGCGACTTCACCTCTTCACACACACCCGGCCATGGTGTCTGAGTTATCAATCTCCTTGCCTTTCATGCATTGTTCCAAACTGAAATCCTGGTGCCTTTATTAATGGCATTCCCTCTGCCCATAATGACTCTCCCCTGGTTAATATATTCAAATATTCAGAAAAATGAAAGGAAAAGTAAAATGCAAAAAAGTCTGAATTTGGGTAATGAAAAGTAAACTAAAGAGTAAAGCATAGGGATGCCTGGGTGGCTCAGTCGGTTAAACGTCTGCCTTCGGCTCAGGTCATGGTCCCAGGGTCCTGGGATAGAGTCCAGCATCGGGCTCCTTGCTCAGTGGGGAGCCTGCTTCTCCCCCTGCCTGCAGCTTCCCCTGCTTGTGCTCTCTCTCTCTGACAAATAAATAAAATCTTAAAAAAAAAAAAGAGTAAGGCATATATTTGAGAGATATTTTAAAAGAAGAACAGAAATTGAACAAAGTAAAGGAAATGATAAAATGAAGAGCCTGAGTAACCAAAAGAATTTACATTTATTTTGTGCTCATGATACAGACATATGGGAAAGGGAACTGTCTTGTGAGTCTGGATGGTAAGTTATTTTTGGAGACTCTACTGAAGTAATGGTTGGATGTCAATATGAAAGCATCCTATGAGTATTTCCACAGGGATAGTAGATATATTTCCCTCTTTTCATAACAGTACATTCCTAAACATTAAAAAAAGTTATATAGTAAATTACAATTCTCCGTGCAAAGAGCATATCATAATTGGGAATCAAGTATCTGGGCAAGAACATGGGCCCAAAACAGTCAACGTCTTAAGAATCAAAATATAATTTTAAAATAGCTTTAATGAATCAGAGCTCTATGGCATTATAAATTTGTTCTAAAATCTAATATGGCAAAATTTTAATAATATTTAAAAAAACTTAGGTTGGCTTTTTAAAATTATGGTTTGTATAGGGTGAGTCACTACCAATACATACAAAATACAATAAATACTATTGATAATGTTTTTCTTCACTGAGAAGCATTTTAAAAATATTTGACATCCCTTCCCCGATATATTCAAATCTGTAAGTTTAATCACACAAAACTGGAACAAGGAGAGGATGCCTGGACATATAAATATTAAGTTGCTCTAATTTTTTACTTCCTGAAAAAGTCTACTTGCCATTTGAGATTTTTAAAAGTTTATGAATATTTCACACTCCTTTGGGAAGCTATTAAGAAAAACAATCCCGCTATCATTCACAAAGACAATTTTTTTTTTAAAGATTTTATTTATTTATTTGAGAGAGAGAGAATGAGAGACAGAGAGCAGGAGAGGGAGGAGGGTCAGAGGGAGAAGCAGACTCCCTGCCGAGCAGGGAGCCCGATGCGGGACTCGATCCCGGGACTCCAGGATCATGACCTGAGCTGAAGGCAGTCGCTTAATGAACTGAGCCACCCAGGCGCCCCACAAAGACAATTTTAAAAGTTGCCAAGTGCTTACACAGCAGAGGGTGTGGAACATACTGGGTTAGTAAATGTTTGCCGAATTGAAGACAATTCTGACTGAAACGAGCTTACAAATTTTCCCCACTCTTAGAGCAATTTACTGAAAGAATGGATTAAAACACTGCAAAATGAGGAATGAAAGTTGTTGATTAGGCATTACACATGAAACCAGGAAGAGGGGAAGCACCTCCTTTAATCTGCACACTGAGAAGGTAGTAACCCAAACATGCTAACTGAATGTGTTCATGGAGATTTAAGAGATTTAATCATTCCCGCTGCATGGAGGGAATGATCAACCTAAATGGGGGGAATAAGGAGAAGAATGAGTAGAATAAACAGGGGGCAAGGTGATCAGTTATTACTTTTTTCAATTTCTAAAGAAATTTCAAATCTACAGAAAAATTGTGAGAATACAGTGAACACTCCTCTAACCTTCACCTAAATTCACCAACTGTCAAAATAGGACATGTTTGCTTTCCTTCTTTTCAACTATATACAAACACATGCAAACTTTCATTTTGGCTGACCCATTTGAGAGTAATTTGTAAATATTTCATCCCTAAGTATTTCAGCATGTATCTCCTAAATATAAGGATTGTCTCCTATGTCACCACATTACAAATTCAAGCTTAGGAAAATTAACATTGATGAAATACTTTCTATCTGATATATAAATATATATTCCAATTTTCCAAACTGATACAATATTGTCTTATGTATCTTTTTTTCAGTCTAAGATCCATTCAAGGATCACATGCTACATTTAGTTATTATGCTGTTACTATGTTGTTTCACATACATAATAAGTTCTTCAGTCTAGTCTCTTTTAACACAAAGCCTGTCCCTGCTTTTTGTTGTTCATAAAATTAACACTTTTGAAGAGTCCAGGCCAATTATGTGGTAGAATGCCCTTTTATTTGGATTTGTTGGATTGTTTCCTCATTAAAGTCAGGTTAAACATTTTTGACAGAACGCTATACATAGTTTGAGTCTTCAGTGCTTTATTCATAGCAGGAGCACATGATGTCAGTCTGTCCTATACCAATGATATGTTTGATCTCTTGGTTATGTTGGTGTCCACCAGGTATCTTTAACATAAAGTATCTTTTCTCCTTTCAAATAGTAAGTACTCTGTGACATGTTTTGAAATTGCGTGAATTATCTTTTTCTACAATAATCTTTCACCCAGTGACTACAGAATATGCTGATAATGGTGGCTTTTCTAATTCAGTATTATTTCTATATTTTTTAGATGATATTCTTCTCTAAGGAAAAGCTTTTCCTTCTCCAGAAAAGAAAGGGAAATTATAACAAGTTAAAAATAATTTTTTAATGGGCTCACAGATTTTTGTCTTCTACTCAATGTAATCCATTATTATTACCATTCATTTTGAGGCTCACAAAGTCCCATATTTGGTCAGTGGGCACCAATTCAAAATGCCTCCCATGTTCTCTTGGTATTTCTCCACCCATTTCTGAACACTGCCTTATTTTCTGTTACTTATTATTTTACCAGCATAAACAATGCAGAAATAATAATTATGTACATGTGTATACTCCATAATAACTTTGTTCTTTCTCTGCTCCAGACCTAGAATCAACCATTTCTCCAATGAGAACCAGGTTCCTTTTAATAAGGAATAGCATTTAGAAAATGAGATCTGGGGGGCACCTGGGTGGCTCACCTGGTTAAGCGACTGCCTTCAGCTCAGGTCATGATCCTGGAGTCCCAGGATCGAGTCCCGCATCAGGCTCCCTGCTTAGCAGGGAGTCTGCTTCTCCCTCTGATCCTCCTCCCTCTCATGTT